CGGGAACAAATATAAAGGACACATGGACAAAAACTAGGGTGGGTGGAAATGGGAGGGAGTTGGGGAGGGCTGGGTGGGTGGGCTGGAATGGGAGTAAAGGACAGAAAACTGTACTTAAACAATGATTAAAATAAAATTTTAAAAAAAGAAACTGCAAAAAAAGAGAAACAAATAATCTCTGAACTTGTATGATTCCAATATTTTGGTACAACCATTAAAAATATTGTTTTTTCTAAAAGAAAAAAAAATGACAGAGATGTCATTTTTGCTACCTAAGACTGTAACATCTGCCTTGCTGGGAGACATTCTCCCTTACAGGACATTCTCCCTCCCAAAGAAATAAGACACCATTCTGTGACCCGCCCTTGCAGTACAGCCTCCTGCTGACAACCAGCAAGGACCCGAATTGCAGACAATAGCACATGAGCTCCAAGCAGATCCTCCACTGCAGAGCCTTCAGATGAGAACCCAGCCCTGGCGGACACCTTGACTGCTGGCTTGCAGAGGACCCAGCTAGCTATGCCTGGACTCCTGACCTGTAGGAGTCGTCAGATAACAAACGTGTTTTTAAGCTGCTAAATTTGTGGTAATACTGTTAGACAGCAATAGATAGCTAAGTAATATAAAAGTACAATTTAGTTCTAATTAATTGTTTACTATCATACTTTATCTTCTAGAACTAAAATTATAATTAATGTAAGAGATTAATTTAAAAATAATGCATTCTTAAATGTCACATAACTTGTATTTTAATTGCAGACAAATTCTAAAGCTTTTTGATGCTCAATATCCCTGCAAAAAGATCAAGATCTTTAAAAGAAAAATAAAACTGTATAAACTCTATGCCATTCCTTCACTTTTGACACTTTTCAGTGTCCCACATTTATCCACGTACCCAAATGTCAGAAAACAATTTAAATTAAACAAAAGTCTCAAAGCTTATTCCGGTCCTAAAGAATAAAATATGTTTTAAAAAAAGTCTACCTTTGATTTTCAAAGTAAATGTAGGTGTCCCTTAGTGCTTCAATTTACACCTCAGTGAATGGCCTTTTATGTATCATATTAATTTATTCTGTTGTATTCAGAAAGTCTACAGTAGATCTACCTGGGGTTTTCTGGCCGTGCTCACTATCTCTAATGTCCATAGTAGTGTAAATACACTACAGTCCCAAACTCATGAGCATGTACACACATGCACTTACATGTGTGCAGAACTGTCTTGTTAATAAGTAATGTATTTCAAGAGAAAATGGTTAAAATAGAAAATCTATAGTGAAAAATTTTTAATGCAAATCATCTTCATGTTTTAATTTTCTCTTCTGGAATTAAAAAAATCTGAGTGATAAGCAATATAATCATGCCTTATGCTCCTAACCACTGATGTTAAATCTCCTTATTTAGTTTTTATTTAGAATTTTTAATTTCTTTTTTTAATTCTCACCCAAGGACATGCTTATTGATTTTAGAGAGTGAGAAAGGGAGGGAGATGCAGAGGGAGGGAAACATCAATCAGTTCCTGACTGAGCCCACAACCTAGGCATGTACCCTGACTGGGAATCAAACCCGTGACCATTCAGTTTACAGGACAACACTCCAACCAACTGAGCCATGCTAGCCAGGGTAAACTATTCATTTCTTAAGGCAGATTTCATCCACTATACAAGTTGTATTGACTTGGGAATGAAGAAAAGCAGAGAACCTTCGCAGGTTCGATTCCCAGTCAGGGTACATGCCTGGGTTGCAGGCCATGACCCCCAGCAACTGCACATTGATGTTTCTCTCTCTCTCTAGCTCCCTCCCTTCCCTCTCTAAAAATAAATTAAAATCTTTTTTAAAAAAAGAAAAGCAGAGAACCCAATAGAGAAGACTCCATCTGCTAATCTAATCTTTCAAAGAAATGTAAAAATGCTTATAAAGTTTGCATTAAGGTTTTATAAAGAAAACAAGCTAATACATGAAAAAACTAAATTTACCCGTTATGCATATTTTTAAAAATCTTATACATGTAGAAGTTCATAGTAGAGCATACATAATACTAAAAAGATTCAAAGAAATAGCTCTAAATAAAGACTTTAAAGGCAAGGCCTTTGCTTTATAACTTATATTCTTTTATTTAATCACTAATTTAACAAATAACTAGTTATTGAATACCTAGCATAGTGTTTTGGTGAATTGGCATTTCATCAAGAATACATTTTTTAAATAATCTGTTACTATGCTTCAGTTACGCTTGAGTTTTTTCCTCATTGCTTACTTATTACAGAAGAACTCTCCTTAGCTAGATCACTAAGTTCATTAGGCAAGTGCTCCGTTTCCACATAACTGCAGACAACAAAGTCACCAGGCTTTCTGCCCCTAACAACAAGGATCTCCCTTCCTCCAGCTTTTAGTAACATGGACCTCGCTTCCTTTTGCCTTCATTGGCAGCATCTTTAAAGTACAAATTTCTATGAAAAGTCTGTTTATAGCAATTTAGACTTTCTCTAATATGCTCCTCATAATCCTTCTAGGCTTTGCCCACTGCCTGGTTCCAAAACCACCCCCATATTTTAAGGTATTTGTTATGAAAGCACTCACTTGGTTCCAAGGCACCAAAATCTGTTATGGAATAACTTTGTTACTATGTGCAGAAGACGATAGCATACTTAGAAAATTCAAGTGACTGTACGAACTATACAAAAGTTGCTGTTATAGACCAATGTACAAAAATCAATGGCATTTCCTTATGTTAGCTACAAGCAAAGATAAAATGTAATAATAGTAAACAGATCTATCCCCTGGCTGGTGTTGCTCAGTGGATTGAGTTCCAGCCTACGAACCAAGGGGTTGCCAGTTCAATTCCCAGTTAGGGCACATGCCTGGGTTGCAGGCTGGGTCCCCAGTTACGGGCATACAAGAGGCAGCTAATCGATGTAGCTCTCACACATGATCTTCTCTCCCTCTCTTCCCCTCTCTCTAAAAAATAAATACATTTTACACACACACACATACACACACACACACACACACACATATACAGTCAATGTGAGGGTTAACTGGTATTCTTGTAACTGCTGATTGAAGTATAAGGCGGTATGACCTTTTCAGAAAGCAATTTAATAATATCTCACACAATTTAACATGTGTCACTCAAGCAAATCTATGTTTAGAAATTTAGAGGATTTGAGGTAATAAAATAGTTATTTTCAAATATGTTAAGAGTGTCATATCTAAGAATAAAAAAAGAGTGTCAAGTGAAGGAGTAGATAGATTAATTCTGTATTATATCCAAGCGCAAAACTAGGAACAAAAAAATCTGTTTCAGGTAGATGGATTAAACATTAATTATGGAAAAGTGACTGGTAGCTACAGGGAAGCTTTGATTATGTAACTGCCAAGGTTTATTTCAATACCAAGATTCTCTAATCTAAACTAAAAAAATAAGACAAATAGGGTTATGAATGTATGTTTAAATAAGAACCATTGTACCTTTAAAGGTGAACAAAAATATGATTTATCAGTCTATTACTTTTCTTTCAATAAAAAGATAAAAATCTGAGATACATTAAATGGTAGCAAATTAACTTCTCAAATTAGTCGCTTCAAATTCTCCAAAATATCAATTGGCATTAATTTCAGTCTTCTTTTAAAAAATGGAAGACAAATGCCCTGTGATTGGTAAGAAATATTCACTCATGAAAAGCAGGAACTTATAGTCAAGACTGTTCTACCCAGCAAAGCTATATTTAGAATCAAAGGGCAGATAATGAGCTTCTCAGACAAGAAAACACTAAGGATTTCATCATCACCAAACCATTATTATATGAAATGTTAAAGGGACTTATTTAAGAAAAAGTAGAAGATCAAAATTATGAACTTTAAATAAAATGGCAAAAAATACATATTATTCAACAATTGAATCTAAAAAAACAAACTAGGCAAACTTGAAGAACAGAGACAGAATCTTGAATACAGAGTGTGTATTGATGGTTACCAGATTGGAGAGGGGTGTGGGGGAATGGATGAAGAGGTGAGGGGATTAAGAAGTACAAATAGGTAGTTACAGAAGAGCCATGGAGATGTAAAGTACAGTAGAGGGGGCATTCTAGTCAACATGGTGGTATAGGCAGACATGGCTCACCCTGTTGCACGACCACAACAAAATCACAACCAAAATATAGAAAAACCATTGCTCAGAACTGACAGAAATCGAGTTGAATGGAAGTCTGACAATTATGGAAGTAAAGAAACCACATCCATCCACACTGGTAGGAGGCGCACAGACATGGAATGGGCTAGTCCCTCACCCACATGTGGTGGATAAAAATTCAGGAGGGATTTCTCAGGAGCGAGGAGTCCCAGCTCCACACCTAACCCCTCCAGCCCATGGTTCCAACCTATCAGAACAACAAGAAGAAAAGATAATCTGAAAAAACAAGGATAGTGTATACAGCCCATGGGGCAATTTTAGGCAATCCAACATTCACTTCATAGGGATGTCAGAAGAAGAGAAACAGCAAGAAATTGGAAATCTATTGAAAAAATAATGAAAGAAAACTTCCCCAATTTGGTCAAGGAGCTAGACATGCAAGTCTAGGAAGCACAGAGAGTCCCAAACAAGATGGATGCAAAGAGGCCCACCCTAAGTCACATCATAATTAAAATACCAAAGGTTAAAAATAAAGAGATGGGAGGGGGTTATGGGAGATTGGGTGAGAGGTGAGGGGATTAAGTAGTACAAATAGGTAGTTATAGAATATCCCAGGGGGTGTAAAGTACAGTATAGGAAAGGAAGTAACCAAAAAAAAAAAAAAGAAAAAAAATACTTTTAAATTGTAAGAGCTGCATTATAAGATACACTTGCCTAATTTATTTCAAGTTTAATTTAAATTAAAACAAGGCAATTCCTCTTTATTTTACCGTAATTCTCACAGAGTTATTCTCAGAACAGGAACCCCCCCAAAATCATTATATACAACAAAAAAATGACCAGGAAGAGCAGGTATGTATGCTATACGAACCGATCAGAAGAACTGTTCCAACAGCCAAACCTCCGCCTGAAATAAAACAAAACCAAGAATAATTAATTAATCTACATTTTCACATTACTTCTAGCATAAAAGTTAAGCTTTAAAAAGGACAGGTTTCCAATAACTTTAAAATTGCTGTTGAAAACAACATTTTAATTACCTTTGCAATACTTTGCTTAAGGTGCTATTATGAAATAATTACATATTATATGTAATTACACACTGCACATTACAATTACTTTCATAATATACTGTACAAGCCTCCATTCTCCTGTGATAGGACCATGCAGCATTCAACATAACTGTGGTTAATCATTCTAATAATGTTATATTTAGCACTTAATAAATTAACTCAATAGCCAAGACCTAAGTGTGCACAGTAACTTAACTACTACAGAAGTACAACCAAGAAAATAAAGGTTATTATAATAGAAATTCCACTTCAATATTTATCCTGAAATCTAGTAAGCCTTGGAGAGAAAAACCTCTGATAATTAGAAGTGATTCTTTTTTCATTATGGATAACATACACAAAGTCTGGACATGTTCTATATTTAGAATTTAAAATAAACATTTGTCATTTCAAACAAGAGTCACAATCACAAAAATAAATGTTTGATTATTACTAGAACATGTTCTCTTAAATATCATGAACATGTAATTCAATAATGATCTATCAAAAATCAATGTAAAATTAAGCTTTAGGAAACTAGAACTAAAGATACAATGTTCAACTATTTTGTTTTAAAAACATTTGTACAGTATTATTTGTAATTAATGTCACAAACACAAGTTCTCTTAAAAGTAAAAATATGAAATGTACTTAAGGTATAATAAAAAAAATACTCACTACTAGGGGCTGCCAAGGCAGAAGAGGGAAGGGGGGATAAATAGTGAGGGAAGATCTGACTTGGGGTGGTGAACACACAGTACCACAGATGATGTGTTACAGAACTGTACACCTGAAACCTATATACTTTTATTAACCAATGTCACCCCAATAAATTCAATTTAAATAAAAAACATGGGCTTTGGGGTAACCCACACCTAACTCATGTTCTAATCTCTAGCTTCCCGTCTTGGGCAGTTAATATAGCTCTTGATGCTTCTGTGTCCTGATCTGCATAATCGGCTGATCATACTACACATCTGGTAAGGAGTGTTAAGAAAGCTCATGCCTGAGGAGTCAGGATTGTGTTAGGAATTCATGTGTTGCAGACCACACTGGTCCCCAGCCCTGAAGTACCCAGATAGGGGTCCTGTCAAAGCCCACCAGCACACCAAGCATTGTCTGCAGGCAGAACAGATGTCTCATCCATACAAGTCTAAATAGTCTTCAAATGTACTCATACACGAAGGCTGTTATAATAAATAGAATACAAATTGAAAGAAAAAGAAAATGACTAGAATATTGTTGGATGGTTGAAAGCAAGGTCATTAGAATGTTTTGGGGTTTTGCAAGGGCGGGAGGCACAAAATTATCAAACATTAGAATGCTAATAAGAAATTTCCCCCCCAAAGTTTTTTTTTTTTTTAGATTTTATTTATTTATGTTTAGGGAGAGGGAAGGGGAGAGAGGGACAGAAACATCAATGTGTGGTTGTCTCTTGCATCCCATACTGGGGAGCTGGCCCACAACCCAGGTGTGTGCCCTGACTGGGAATCGAACACACAACCCTCTGGTTCACAGGCTGGCACCCAATCCACTGAGCCACACCAGTCAGGGCCTCCCAAAAGTTTTGTAGTGGAAAATGTTTTATAGAAAAACAGTATGAAAAGTTCCTTTGATAGAGTTTATTTTTTGCTTTGTAAGTAGCATAAATGTTATGCTTTGGGAGAATTTAAAATCTGGTAACATACATGTCACATAGAATACAATGTAACATTTGACAACTTTATAACTATAGGCAGAACATTACTAATTGACATAAAGAGGAAAACAATAAAAAAATAAACCAGTACTTTTAAATATTTTTGTTTAATTGTATTTGTTATAGAACTAAATATATAGCATTTTAATTCCATACTTAGATAAGTTCCTTCATTATACCAGTTAAAGCCATACATAGGATAACTTCCAATGCTCTTCAAGTTAAAAGTTTAATATAAACTGAAATATATATGATGATAACAGCCATAAAGGATCTGAACAAAAAGGTTTTCTTTGGGACAAGATTAGGTTAAATGCTTAACTGTACAGCCTATACTACATATAAACCACATGCAGACCACGTCTAACTTTTAAATCCATTTTGAACATTTCAAATTACACTTTCCAAGTCCTTCTTTCCCCACTTTCCTTGAAAGGCAGAAATAAATGTTTAACTACCTAATCATTGTTTTGTGTATATTTAAGGAGACAAAATATAAGTGTAAACAGACACTGCAGTGTCTAGTCTTAAGCAGGTAGTATAAAAAATAGTTTTTTTTCCTTAACCTATTTCTCATATGATTTAGATTTATTTAAACTTTATGTAAACTGGGTCTACATTCATGTCTTCCCAAATTAGGGATTTATATAAACTTTTGAGGCTTCGTGTAAAGGAATACTTGGACAATTAAAGACACTCTGTGAATGTTATTCATAGTGGGATGATGGGAACAGACCCAGGAGTAGTTTCCCAGTTGAATGCATTCCTAGTTTAGGTGTGTGGCCCAGGGGGGTACTCGGTAGGCACTACCCTTACCATTCTGGCAATTATTTTCTGATTAGCAGGAATCACTGAAAGCATATTGTTGCTTTATAAAAGATGATCACCTTAACAGGAAAAATCAGACTACGCTAAGGAGGTAATTTTTCTCTAAGAATGATACAATCTACTGTTCCTGATAATTTGGAAAACACCACTCAAATGTTTAAAATCTCAGGTATATGAAAATTCTAATGTTTGTAAAGTTCAACATTACTCAAAACAAAAAAAATAAATAAATGGAGACAGTTCAGTGACTTTTATCAACCAAATTAATAGCCCACCAGGATGTCTCTTACAAAAGGGCCGTTTCAGTTTTTTTCCTTCTATTATGTAAATTCACTAGGCTCAAATTAGAATTTGCTCTAGTAAAGGTTGGTCATTTTGAAGGTTGGTCCTCGGGAATAGGATGACTACCTTATCAACTATTCTTAAATGAAGCTTTTATTCTATGTATATGAAGTAAAATGGCTAACACATACACAGCAGCAAAGTATCTTTAGTCTTCCAAATTTGATTTCAGCATGACAAAACCTCACATTTCCCCCAAATACTTCTGTACAAGGTATTTGGATATACCTTACTTGACATGCTTAGGTTCTATCTATATTTTAAACTACAGTAAGTTTGTAGTCATGTCCCCACCAAACATTTGTAAGTTTAATTAACCAAACACAACAGGATACTTTGACACAATATGTTCAACCCAAACTAGCTTTTAATACATGTGTCTTTAAAACCAGTAACCCATTAACAATTTTATGTAATTTCAAAAGCAACACAGTTGTCAATCATAGTTCCCAATTAAAATAGAAATATTTTTCTCCCATAGTCCACTAAAATGTTTAACAGGTAAATAAGAAGGTAAATAAGCAATCATGTTACTTTATGATAAAACATACAATGAAGTAAGATGATCTTTTACCACTTCCTCTCCCCTTTAATCATATCTTACAGAAATCATCAAGACACTTTCTAAGTCATTAACCAAATAAATACTTGGTTTTACTTCTAGACCTTGGTTAGAAATATATTAATTTCAAGCTTACTAAAAATACAGGCAGTAGAATATTATATCCAAATGTAAGATTACACAAGTTTGAAAGCTTGAAGACACTTTTCAAGTTTGATATTTTAAAATATTTTCATCAAAATTTTACATTTAAAAATGACAGTCTTTTGTATTTAAAGTAGAAAAAATCTAATGATCTAAAAACATTGTAAGAAAATTTAAGATCTCGCAATTAAGTGACAATATCTTCCTATTTTATGGCTTTTAAAATAGGAGGAAAAAGATTTTTTAATTTTGTGTCAAGTTACAAAATTAAATCAGTATTTTCTCTTATCAATATTATTTTAAAGACAAAATATTCAATCCCCACACTTCCTAAAACAAAACTCTAATTGAGCTATAAATTTGGGGTAAATAAGGTCAAATTCATATATTAGAATATGAAGGCTGAGAAGTAATGCCTTATTTACAACAAGAGCATCTCCTTTTTTCAAAGTCAGAGAAAAATAAAAGGGAAAAGAAAACAGGAAAGATAATGGCAAGTTACACAAAGTCCTTCCCAGTACTCTCTACAAGAGAAAAAGTTTAAGTTTTGCTTAAAATTATAGAAAGCATTTTAGGGAAAATGCAATATAAAAAGCACTTTCCTATCCTTTTTTTAGTTTATAGCAATATCCTTAAGTACTTAATGTCATACCTCAAATTAAATTGCAGTTATTTCATTAATAAATCTACTTTGGCTTCTCTCTCTAGGGGTATAAACATCCCAACAACTCTAGATTATCACAATTATTGGCTGGGCAAATACAGGAATTAAAACAGAAAATGCTATGAATAGTGACAATGGTTATGTAAATTAAATTACATGAAACAATTCTACATAAAAATACAAAGGAACAAGCTACAGATTTCAGTTCCTAAAATATTATAGCCAGGATTACTCCATTGTCCAAACTCAGTGTACTTCTCCCACCTTCTAGAGTAAAATACAGTAAAGGACACAAACTCATCAGTATTTATTTTTTGACATCAGTGTTGAAAATGCAGCTACCATCAAGCTTCTTTGGAATACTCTTTCTGGATATTATTTACCCCAAAGCCCTATCTGCCATTCACCTGACTGCCAAAACTTAGTAAATTTTAAACAGCAAAGAGGTTAATCCAGTCAAGCCTGAAGTCATCTTTCCTTCAAGTTCCTTTCTGAAGGATGAGGCTGGGTGACAATGCCCCCAGATTAGATGACATGACCCTAAAATGGTCTACACTTTAAATGCCAGCAAAAGAAATTCTGAAAGAATATTTTTCCCACTATAATCTCTCTCTGGAAATTCCTGGAAGAACAATGGATTATTTACATATACTATCATCAAATAACAATATAAATTTCCTGGAAGAGCAGGGTTCAGAAACTGGACTGAGAAATCTCAGAACCCCCCAAATTTAAATGTAGTTCACTTGGGAAATGTATATCAATATCTAACAAAATTAAGTTGCCAAAACAACATTTAATATGATTATATCATGTTTAAAACATGGGGATATAGAGAATTCTCAAATTTATAAAACACTTTGCTTTTGCAGTAAACCATGGGAATATGAACATATCATTAAATGACTAACATTCAATTAGCCTGTGTGATAGCTTTTAAGTATACTTTGCAGCTATGCTTAAAATGACAATGATGTCATAGTGGTAGTAGTAAAATATCACTGCACTGAATGGCAGCAACAATACAGTATTTACTTGTTACACAGTAATCACTTAATACATATTTTGGCAACAATCACAATGTCACAGTATAGTTTCATCATCCTAATATCGTAACATCCTACTTGTGTTACATTTTCTCACAATATGGTCATATTAGGCTTGTCACAATCTGAGTCAAATAATATTTGAGTAACAACATAATGTTTTGCTTATAGCTATATGCATACATATTGGCAACCAAATGTTTCACTTTCAAATACTGTTTTAATGAAAAACAAACGGTTTGCTCCACAGGGCCATACAAAATAGAACATCAAAATACAAACATGTCATTAAGAAGTTAACAACTAAAATATTTCTGCAGATATTTATTATTCCAAATGTAGTAACTCCTATTATGACTTCTACGTCTTTGCACTTTGAGAATTAACTATATACGTGTAAAAATATTCCAAAATATCCAAAAACAGATACTTACTTTAATCATCTTAATGAACACTGATTTTTAGCAAAAAGCTTGTCACAGTCAAATAGTGGAGTCCCCATCCCCAAGCAAATCTGGAAATTTTTGAAATTACAGTTCGAGTTTATATCACTGCAGAAACACACGAGGAAGTTGCTTCGGGTTACTTTTTTGGTGGGTGCTTTAAGGGACTATAGTTAAATCATTAGTTTCAGGTCCAGTAAGCATTTAAAATCACTTGAAAGGAGTTCTAAAAAATGTGAAAGAGCTACAACATTGGCAGACGACTAAATCTGGAGCCTGCATAGTAGCCCAGGCTGTCACTATTTGTGATGTTCACGTCACTTAATCTCTATTTTTAGAGCTCCATCCTACATATTTCATAAATTCTTGTCCAGTTTTTTTTCCCTCACATTATTTTTCTTTTAATCAAGAGCTTACTGAAAATCCACTAACAACAACTGTGCTACACACAGTTTATAATTCTAATGAGGAACTGAAGGTATAACATGGGAAATGTGACCTTTTTGTTTGGAGAGTTCCAGGATCAAGTGAGTGAAATTACATATCCCAGTTGAATTCATACACACATGTGTATATATAAAATATATAACCACACATACATAATCACCCATAATATATTTTTATATATATAAAATCACACTTGGGCGTGATCCTGTATTTGAACTTAAAACTTGAAAACAGCTTCTAAGGTTCACAAGGGAAAAATAAAGGTGAGATAAATATTTACTAACTAGATATTCCGAATCATTTTTATTCATAGTACCATGCAATTTAGGAAGGCAGCAGACCTGACACAATTAGGTAAAAATACATAAATTTATGTAGAAATAACCATGAAATAACAGGCCAAGAGACCATACTCTTTCTTTCTCACAGGTTACTTGTATTGTCACTTTCTTTTGCATCAAGCCTTGGGGTGGGGTGGGGACACAGGAATTACAGAGATAAAATGTCAAGTGAAGTACAAGAACAAACAATGGCATTTCTAATATTTTAGGAAAGTGTACAAGATTTGATGGACACACATCACATACTATTAAAAAGTTATGAAATACAAACGGACCATTTTTAATGATGCAGCATTCAGATGGGAATTAACTAATTTACAATCTTTATTAACATAGAAGCTCTGTCCTCCCAAACTAATCTGGTCAATCCTTTCAATAGAACAGTTATAAAACAAGCATATTCATAACAGGCTTGTCATAAAAAATTCCAGGGATTATATAGGAAAGCCTAAGAACTGTACGTCTCTTTCTCGTTAAAATGTGAACTTGGAACATATCGTTTGGAATGTAACTACTGGAAGCAAAGAACATAGAGGAAAAAAATCTAACAAAAGCATATATATATACACACGTATTTAACGCAGATGCAGATAGGGGTATGGCTCTCACGATCAAAAACAGGCTGTAGCTACTTTGGATTCACTTAAACCTTTAAGATCCATTCTCTTAAAGCCAATTCGGTTTGTTAAAAAGATTCAGAACAGGTAGATAAGTAGCCTGACAGTGAAAGACGGGAGGTTACTTTTTTTCAGCATCTTATAACGAAACCCATCTCTCACAATGATATAAACTTCTACAGGGTTAACCCAAACCACGAACTACCTGGGGTTAGCGGGAGACCAGGAGGAGATTCTAGAGATGAAAGCCAAACCGTCTCCAAACATTAATAATCCCCCATGACCAAGGTAAAAGCACGCGGGATCACGTCATAATCTAGAAAAAAGGCTGGTGGGCAGGAACCAGAAGAGAAAGTGGGGGGAGCGCTAGAACAGGTTTAGTTAACAGCATTTACACGTCTCCATGCAACAACTCCTCCCATCCATCTCTATCAGACCAGGCAGTCCTCTCCGGGTCCGAGGACTAAGGGGCCACAGAGCTATGTGGGGTCAGGGCAGCTCCCCCAGCAAGTCCCCTCCCCAAGTTTTCCCTCTGTTGACCCCAGATCTCAGTGCTGAACCGACCTAAGAGCTGGTCCAGGGCTGGGAGCCCGGTTGATACCAGCAGCTGTCCGTTCCGCACCGACGGTCGTGTGCCTGCAATAGACACCAGTCGAGAGCCGCCGCTGTCGGTACCGCTGGCTCTAGGACCCTTCCTCTGGAAACTGGTGACGTTTTTGCTGGCTGCTGCCGCCGCCACACACCCAGTAGTCCCGGAGCCGGAGCCGCAGGATCCCACGGCCGCCATCTTGGCGCTTTTCGCGGAGACCCAATAGAAACTCTGGGCTCTCCAGCAGCGGGCCTGTCACAGACAGCCCCAAACTCCCGCCTCCTTGAGGCGCTTGTAGCCAATAGAACTGAAATCGCCGTCTCGAGTCTACCAATCGCAAGGCTTATTGCTAAAAAGTGCGCTTACGCAAGGACGGTGGACGTCTGCGGGACCCAGGTGAGAAGGCCCACCTGAGTCCTGGGTTAGTGTTTTTCGTGTTTCTTTGGGGCTGGAGGTGGGTAACATCATTCTACGTTGCTCTCGTTTTCAGTGTCTTCATTCATGTTGAGTTAAAGATACGGTTGGTGGAGCGACATTTCAAGCAGCTACCATTAGGATGTTGCACCTAGACTCGTCTGTTAGTAAAGAGGAAAGATACAGTTCCCCTTCCCTTATGATCTCGGATTGAAATTTCATTCTGTCTTCCCTATCCACGCCCCGCCTCTTTTTTGAGTAGCTGTGTTATACTGAAGGAATGGGAACTCACCTTAATGAATTATTTGCTGAGCATCTGAGTTCAGTTTGTCAGTGCCAGGTGGAGTGGATTTAGACCTTAGAGTGAAAACTCGCGAGCTTGGAGGCGATTTGGTTTACCTCTGATTCAGAGAGCAAATGACAAAAGATGCTTCTCCGACGAGTTCCTGTGAGAAGCTTTCGTTAATTTTAATTAGTGTTTCTGTAAGTCTTGGAGTGCCTTTCCATAAGTGGTGTGAATGACAAGTGTTACTCTGACAACCTTCTTCACACATTTAATTGTTTGCTGTTAAGGCACCTTCAAATAACAAAATACTTGAGTTGTTTTTTTTTCCCCAAGAAAAATCTGATAAGAATTAGATATGTATGGACTTTTTTTTTCTAGTGAACTCCGAATTGAGAGCTTTCTTATTAGAATAGGAATTTTATGTGCGGGTGGAGGGGTGGGGGGATGATGTAATTTAGAGCTGCATCTTCGGATTTAAAAATTTCCTTAAAACTGAGTATGTGTGTGTCTCTCTGTGTGTGGGGGAGTGATACTTAAAAGCATCCATGATTGACAAGGTTAAACTTAAAAAGGCTCCCAAATCATGCCTGTTCTACAAAGTTATGACTGGTTTTGACGGTGATGTATGATACTTTCAAAATACATCCAAACCTCATTGCAGTTCTTGCCATTGAATTGTTTTAAATATCAGTGACCCATTAAAACTCCTTGGCAAATTCTATTTGATAAATCAAGATTAGTATTGGTAAATAGCGACTGGAGTTTCTCATTTGGGGAGATCTTTTTCTTTATTTTTTGTTTGTTTTCTAAAGAAAAATCTTTAAAAAAATCCATGTTGCTATATATCAACTGAAAAGGTTTAGATACTTTCATTTTGCCAGTATAAATCTATAAACTAAATCATTTATTGAACAGCTGTTGAGTGTCTTTCTAGACCTAATCTTGTCACTTTAGGCCTACAGAAGTGAAAATGTTCTCATTTGGTGGAGGTAAGATTAACATATTAGAAGACAGAATACCACTTGAACACATTGAACAATATGTACTAATCTTGTCCTGTAATAAGTAAGTACTAAGAAGAGCAAAAGAAAAAGTGGCAAAGCAGTTTAATATCAAATAATAACATCTTAGATATTTTTTGTTGCTCTTAAATATTGATTTTTAAAAAAATATTTTTAAGAGAGAGAGGAAAAGAGGGAGAAAGAGAGGGAGAGAAACATCGATGTGGCAAACGTTATTCAGCTGCCTGTCATTCGTGCCCCAGTCAGGGACAGAACCTGCAACCTGGGCATGTGCCCTGACCAGGGAACTGGCAACTTTTTGCTTTGTGAGATGACACCCAACCCAGTGAGCTACACTAGTGAAGGCAAATATTGATTTCTTCAATAGGTTGTTTTTGCTTCATATTACCTTGTCTCTTCCTCTGTTTACCCTTTAGTTTTCTAAAGGTGATAGTATGATGCTTTCTTTGCTTTACTACTAGAACTGAAGAATTGTTTTTCAATTTTAAATAAAATTTGGGAACCATGACATGTATGCACACCAAGGAATTCCTGAAATTAGACTATTCTTTGGTGTATTATAACATCGTAGAATAAATTAATTGAATCTATCTCAATTTTTTTTTACAAAAGATAAAATCTTTCCTCTCAAAGCAAATAATCCCAAGTATTTGAATTTGTCAGTATGTAGTGTTGAACGTAAGACATTAGGATAAAAGTATTTATAGAAGTGAAGAGTTAAAAGGGTATATGCTTAGGTGTGGTGTTAATGATTAATAGCAATTAATTAATTAAACCCCAGGGGATGTGCTAAGCACTCAGGTTAGAGGAGAAAGAATACTCAGTCTACATCCTCCTTGAGTGCACAGTTGAGGGAGCTATATGGGTAAATAGAATAATAAAGCATGCTGTACATACTATGGAGGACAGATGTAGATACCTAATTTGGAGTAAGAGGAGCCTTGGAAAGTTTCCCCTGAGGAGGAAGCTTAACCTGAGTATCAAAGGATGTTTAGGTGATATAAGCATTATAGAGAATGGAAACCATATGGAAGCCATTACAGACAATGGAAAGACTGCTCCTAGTAAATCAGCTCTCGTTGCTTCTGTGCAAGTAGTTCTCATGAGTTATACACAGTGCTAAGAGAAGAGGAGACTGAAGAAGGTTTAATTGATTTTTCCTAAGGTGGTGAATTTTTTCCCCTTAGGGACAATGGGAAATGGGAAATCAATGAAAAGTTTTAAGTAATGACAGAATTATATTTGATCCTTATGTTTTGACTGAACATATGCTAGAAGGAAATAGATCACTGAAAGTGTAAATTCGATAAAGAGAGTGGAATGATTTAAGAGACTGCTATAAGGGGTTGCTGTGGCTGGTGCAGCTCAGTTGGTTGGAGCATTGTCTGGTACACAGGTGGCAAACACAAGGCCTGAGGGCCGAATCCGACCCTGCATCTTGTTTCATTCATTCCTGGTCTGGATGTGTGCAATTCCTGTTCTGGGCGCACATGAGATGCAAACAGTGGATGTTTCTCTCACATCAATGTTTCTCTCTCTAAAAGCAATGGAAAAAAAAAGATTACTATAAGGTCTAGAATTGATATGGTCAAGGAAGGTTGACAGGAGGAATCAAAGATGATTAACAGGCTTCTGCCTTGAACAGCTTTGTCAGTGCCAGAGGATACAATTAAGGAGGAACAGCAGAATTTTGTAGTTATGTTCCTTATTTTAGGGAATGGGAGATCATAAAATGAATTTTTTAAAATGTATTTAATCGGAAGAACCCATGGAGTATCGGGGACCACTCAGCACACAGTGGGCTATGTGAGAAGAGGGGTCTCTAGATGAAATAGATTTGAAATTAATTAGCACATGGTGGAAGTCTACCCCAGGGAATGGATAAACTCACTAAGGAAATGTATGTATGCTTTAGAATGAGAAGAAAAAAAGAACTAGGAATAAGTTTTGGGGAACATAAACATTTAAAAGCTGGACAGAGGAACAGAAAATAAAATAAAAATTGGAAAGTAGTTACTTGATTTAGTAATAATGGGTTTATTTTTGCTTTGCTAAGGGCAGATTTGATAGAGTAGTAAACTGAAAAGTCATATAATTGTATTTAGAATTGAATGGCCAGTACATTTGAATATTTCATAAAAGTAGACCATTTTACATTTTAGAAATCTGTACTGTGAAGTGGGGTGGGGGTGGGTAGAGGGGGATGACAAAAATTCAAGGGTGGAGTTGTTTGAGAGAGTCTAAAAATGAAAGTACTGGAAACCAACTCTAGACAATTGGTAAAAGGACCTGAATGCAGTAGAAGGAATCGAACCTGGAGAACAGGAGAGAGATTAATATTTGAAAGGAGGGATAATTCAGTGGCTAGAGGGTATATAAGAACATAAGGCTCTTGCTTTCTGCCATTAAATCTTGGAGTCCTTAAGACCATTTTCTCTTCTTTCCATATTCTTATCTTCATCTATTCCCAGGACCTCAGTTACAATTTATATGTCAATGTCTAACATCTATTCCCAGGACCTCAGTTACAATTTATAGTCCAGATTGCTTCTCTGACCTCCAGAATCAGAAATTCAGATACTTTACCTGTCACTTAAAAGTCTTAGTGGAACCTCAAACTCACAATGCCCCAGACTGAACTTTCTCTAGTGTTTTGTATCTCATTAAATGATAGGACAATTTGTAGAACTTTGTTTCCTAAGCTGTGGAACTTCATTCACTACACTCAATTCCTCTCTCAAGCTGCATTTTACCTTATCCTGTCCATTACCAGGACCTGTGGAGTTTACCTCTTAATAGTTCTCTAATCCATTCCAGGGCATTTAGCCCTCATCTTTGGTTGTCTTACAGTACATTATCCATTCAAGAGCCATCCTGATCTTTTCCAAAAAGAAGTATGATTATATAATACAGAAACACAACTTCTTTTTTAAAAAATATTTTATTTATTTTTTAGAGAGAGGGGAAGGGAGAGTGAGGAAGAAGAGAAACATCAATGTGTGGTTGCTCTGCACATGCCTCCCACTGGGGACCCAGCCCACAACTGAGGCATGTGTCCTGACTGGGACTCGAACAGGTGACCCTTTGCTTTGCGGTCTGGTGCTCAATCTACTGAGCCACACCAACCAGGGCCAGAAACACAATTTCTTAAGGACCTGCATATAGTTCCCTGTACCTGCTTCTGTAAGCACTGTATAAATTCCCTTACTCTGCACTCTGGCATTCATTTATTGTACTGTACTCACCATGTTCCATTCTTCCAAAAGGCCACTAGTTAACTTCTATATACTATTCAAATCTCATTTCAGCCTGTGCATTTCAATAAAGCCATCTCACGGTCCTGTCAGAATGAAATTAGCTCCAATATACCAACAACGAACAGTGGAATTGGAAATTTAAAAAATACAATTTATATTAGTATCCCCCCAAATGAAATACTTAGGCATAAATCTAAAAAAAATATACAAGATGTATATGAGGCAAACT